ATAAATCATACCGTTGGCTATTGGTCAAGGTAACTCTTTTTTTCTTTTGAGTATTATTAGGCTCATTTTCAATTTGCCGCTTATTTGTAGCTGTATTCATACTGAAAAAAGAGACAATGTAAAAATTTCAAGTAAAAAAAAATACTTATACTTTGATTATACTTTGATTACACTTTGATTAAGTTACACAAAGTTTCGTTATATAGTAAATATTTGCTTAATATTTCGCTTTATTAAGGTATTTGTTATATCAAGGTAATTTTCTTATAAATAAATTGTAAATTGTTTCGTAATACGATATACCGAGGTTTTATAATTAAAATTCGTTATATTGAGGTAATTTTAAACTATAAAATTCTAGCTGAAAAAAATATTCGTTATAATAGCACTTTTGGCTTATTGAGGTTCGTTATATTGAGGTTATACTGTATATTCTATTTTAAAAAAAAAACGTGACATAAAAACGCTAATTATTAGTAATTAAAAACTCAACCTCTTCTTCACGATTCCTTTGAGCCTCTTCCAATAAAGAAGTAAAACTTTCCTTAGTCATGACCAACAAGGCATTGGCTGACAAATAGTAAGAAATCAACAAATTGTGGATGCCACAGGTTTGATACAAGGAGAAAACCCAAGAGTGATTCTCCAAGCACCTTTAAATTTATTGACCTCAAATCGATCCATCATTTCATGCTTAGCATAAGCATTCCAATTATACATAGCTAACCTTTTCCCAAGAAGATAGTAGTGTTGGAGTAGCATAACCCGGTTCAGACCGCAGAGTTGAATCTTATACATAGGTAATCCATCTGCTGCCCCCAATCCTCTCCGTCAACTTTTTCAAGTTCTATAGCTAGGTATCCTATCCGTTGGAGATCTTCATGGAAGAGAGGTATCCGAGATCCTTCAGAAGAACCTTCAGCAAGTTCAGGAGCAAAGTTAACCTCAACTCGATCCCCTTGAGCATTGAAAAATTCTATTTTAGCATCCGTAACAAGAAGAGTAGCTACATGGGATCCCCTAATATATCTTTGTAATCGATTAATGGTTCTTAAAAATGGTGCAGTTACTTGAAATGATTCCATTGTTGATAAAAAAAAAAGAAAAAAAAGGTTAATCTTGAGAATATTTATAAGCTTGTGGATAGAGGATATGACATATCTTTTTAACCAGTTTACATGCTCTGGCTTCTTAAGGATCTTCTTAATTATCTAGGCTTTTCGTTTATTTTAACTCTTACTACAAATATCATGGACATAATACGGGCTAGTAAATTTCTTGTTCAATTTAGCACTATATGATATTAACAAAATTTGGTTTTCTACAACATTTTATCACTTATAGAATAACGCTATATTACATGGCTTTGATTTTTGTTTGTCTTAAGCACGAGTAATATTTAATCTAAAAGCGCGCTTTACCTAAGCATTTCAACAAATTTTCGATACGCCACAATAATTTATCCTGCTACCAGTCCATTAATTGAGGTGATAGGCAGCTGAAATCTTATGCTAAATATTTATTATACAAAATAATGAAACTACCGCTTTATTATAGAACAGTGTTGTCACTGGAAGACTGCTAGAAGGTCACTAGAAAGAAAATTAATAGTGTCACTGGAACTTAAAGTTCCAGTGGCACTATTGATTTAACTTCCAGTGACCTTCCAGTGAACAACACTGTGATAGAATATATTTGATTCAAAAATATCGAGAATTTTCATATCAATAAATAATATTCTCAAAAAAAAATAAAAATAAATGCCGCTTGTGTCCCTCGTTCAACGGCATGTGATTCAGGATATCTATTTATTTAATTATTTTAATTATAATCATGGTGTAATAGTAAATGAAGTAATCATGATATAACAATAGCGAAAATGTAGCATAGCCATTAGCGACTGTTTATAGACTTCTTCGATAATTAATATAAAAAGTAACAAACAAACAAGATGATTTGGAATCGTTTTATTCCTATAAGCCCCAATATTACAGTCCAGTACCACATTTTTTTTCATGATCACGTTTTTTTTTTAAAAAAAACCATGGTATTGGAAAACAGATCTCGATTGATCCTGCTACTCTCTTTTACTCAATGTTATTTGAACCTATTTCTTTTTGGTCCAGAATTTAAATATAGTAACGGACGTACATTAAGCCTATACTCCTTTTTCTTTTCACTCACAATAGCTTCATCAGGCTTAATCCCAACCCGACCATTACAGCATTGTTTTAGTCTATTTCTAGACTATCATTCTAGACTTTTATCTACCCTTCTTACCTTCGATAATTGATAATAAACAAATAAAAAAAATATGCATAAAAATGATGAAATAGATAAATATTGGGATTATTCTATTCCTCTAAGCCCCAATCTCCAATCTTACAATCCAGTGCCACATTTTTCATCATCATAGCCACGGTTTTTTTAAAAAACATGGTATTGGAAAACTGGCTTATTAAGATCTCGATTGATCTATTTAATTTAATGACCCTAACCCGATCTAATTAAATTCGTCATATCATGTGCATAAGCTTTAGCGATTGATATTCGAATCCAAGTTCACTATCAGAGTTAAACTGGACACTATATTCAAAATTGCACCCCAAACTGATAGTAACAATAGTCAACTAAGGTGGGCAATTAAATTTTTAGATCAATTTTATAAAAAAAAGAAAAAATCGATGCATAACAAATGATTTATTTTATTTTTATATACAGTATAGTGCGAGCGGTCCAGTTACATTATGTTATATAGAATTACACACCAAAAAATTAAAACAAGAATAAATAATCTATTCTAGCCAAATAGATTCTGCCATATATTCCTAGTATAGTCGACTTCTCTAAGTGCACCCTTTATAAGTGCACACCCTCTCTAAATGCACGCCCAAGTGCCGGCCCAAATATATACTTAACCTCCATAAATGCACCTTTTCTTATTATTCTCTATATGCACGTTATTAAAGTGTGGTCCCAAGGGCGTGCACTTAGAGAGGTCTGACTGTAACTCTAATTGATTAACCAGATAAAATCTCCATTAATCAATATAAGTAAAAAGAAAGCGATGCCTTTAAATAAATGAAAAAAATAGTACCATCAGCGGAGTCCTTGACAAGACAGAAGACCAATATGAAAGCGATCATATGGATATTTACCAAAAACTAGACTTGAACGATAGCTCCATCAACATCATAAGGGATACCTGCAGAACGAATAACAAAATTCATTTCAACTGCAAGACAAAACAAGAAATTGCGACGAGGTTCACCTGGAACGAACTCCAGAAATAACAAACCAAAAGTCCAAGAGCTACAAAATACCAAAAGAGTGTAAACACGCCAACGAAAAGGTCTACTTGAAAAAGCTTCAGAAGCGACAAGCCCAAAACTATAAACTACCAAATTCGACGGTTATACTCTGACGAATCTCCGACAACGACAATTCTAATAACAAAACAATTCCTTCAACGGTGAAAACATAAAATAATAATAATAAATAACAAAAAAAATTTTTTTTTTAAACTATGCACCTATTTCTATATTTGTAAGTGCTATAATTATATGCGGACGATTAAAATAAACTGATAACAGATAATCGGTCACATGTACTACGTATTTTGATTGTCGGGATTTTTTTAATTGTCGGATTTTTTATCGAGATTTTTTTGTCGAGATTATGACTAAAGATGGGCAAGGTAATAATGTAAGTATTAATTACTTATTTTTTACCCCAATATTTACACATACATATTATTACTAATTATTCTCTATGCGAACAATTATTACTTATCACGTTTTACAAATGTAATCTGGAAGGCAAATTTTAAACTCAAAAATTTGCTGATCAGGTTAAGTTTTTGCTTATATCATAATTCTTTACTTATTATTACTTATTACGCAAAAAATGATAAGAAATAATCGAAAATAATAAATAATAATACTTTACTAAACTTGCCCATCTCTAATTATGACCCGTCGGGATTCTGTTTGTCGGGATTTTGACCCGCACTCCTTATAATTAAAGACAGATTACTTCGGTATAAAGGTGAATCACATGTCTTCCCAAGTTAGAACTTGTTTTAATCGCAGCAATGACCAGCAACAATGTACGAGACATCCTTGAACTTTACTCAAATCCTTCAAATTCAACAGACATACTTGATCAACAGACATACTTGAAACTAACGTCAAGCATTAGAAAATTACTATTCAGATTGTACTGTAGCTCGTCATTAAAAATTATTTAATCCAGCTTGAATCTTAAATATTTTTAGTTATGTATATATTTTTGTTTTAAATAGATGGAATACCTCGAGAACTTTTTCAGTTAATAGGTGGTCCACCTCCAATAACTTTTGTAAAGCCTCAAAACTGAATTTGCATAAAAAGGCCATTCATTGGTAATTGAAACTCCATCTTTAATTATAGAACTATAATATAATTAATAAGATTTTAATTGAGAAGATTTAGATATAGAATCCGTTTCGAATTACCGTTCGTTAATAATTGTAACATAACTTAATAAGGGGAATAACAAAGTTTTACTAATCAAGAGCGAGGTGAGGATGATCAGTTAACACTACATCACAGGGTCAAATGCATCTTTTTTTTTAACAGTAATTAATTTTAATTCTTATTCATGTTATTTTAGGATATTGGTTTGCCGAGTATAGCAAAAAAATTGACATCATATGAAGAATATGAAAAATATTTAACGGGTATTAGTCAAAAATATTTCTACCTATAATTTATTTTCAATAGCTTATTCATGATAGTATTATTTATAAAACGAATTTATAGATAAAGATTGGACTAAAAAGAAGACAGATTACTTATTTAAATTGTGACAAATACGATCTTCATTTCATGGTCAATCATTATTGTTACGAATATAAGGAGCGATCTATTGAAATGAATGGATAATTTTTTTTTTATCATGATTTCGAGCAAAAGATATTTATCAAATCTATATTTCAAGGCAAAAACATATAGTTGGAATTTATAATAAATGATTTGTTTTTTTATAAAGCTTATTATTAACATCGCTTTATGTTTAATTTCTTATTATTTGATAGTTACTGATTTTTTAGATCAATATTCTTTAACTAATCGTTCAAAAATTTATTACCACAAAAGTCCAATCTGTTAATTAATTTGTTTTTTATTTTTAACAACAGTTTGATTATTTTTTAATATATTAAACATTATCTAATATACAAGACTTTATAGACAGTTATGGAAAGATAGTGAATGCAACAAAGAGAGCTTTTAGTATTTAATGTTTTATTAGCTTCTGGCTTCGTTTCTGAGAAACAGTCTTCAGGCTCTGACACAAATAGACAGACAATTCATTCTTGCAGAAAAAGCTTGCTGGTACTTGATATAGTGGAGAACGGCATACTTCTTTAACGTATTTCCTAATTCTTCAGCAGTTGGTCGGTTTTGAGGTTTAGTATCTAAGCATTTATTCATCGAATCTAAAAGTAGTCTGGAAACTTCACATCTAATTTTAGGTCTATACCCTAGATAAATTTTAATTGTTAAATCCTTATCATGTGGAATATCATGATACGGAGGATACCTAGTACAAACTTCTGATATAATTATTCCAAAGTATATTCTTCTCCATAATTTGTTGTGAATTTTGTAGCGAATTTATTGTTTATTATGTTTGATATGTTAAAATGTAAAACTAGTGCTTGAGCGATCTTTATCAATGGTAAATTTTTGGAGAAAAAAGGTGGTTTGTATCTCGTTGATTTGTTGATCGAATTGGTAACTCACTTGATTGATTTATTTAATTTCCGACTAATTAAAAATTTACGTCCGATCCATTGAGTGAGGTGCTTGAGAACGGCCTTGGCCAATTTTTCAAAAAGAAGTTCATATGAAATAAGCATAAGCTCAAAAATAAATGATGCATCATGTTTTTAAGTAAGACCACACCTCCGTATATATATACCTTTGTATAAAAATTTTGGGATATTTTAAATTGTTTTTCTTGCAATACGATATATATTAAGAACGGCCCAAATATCTTGAAATTCATTTAATTGAAAAAGAAGCTCATTGGCTTCGTTTACATTTTACTAATATTTATCAAAAAAGTTTTCAAAATAATAAGCTTCAGGAATTACAATCATGGTGCAATGATTTTTTAGTAAAATATCCTAATAAGCTTTTTGACTCTGATGAGTTCCTCTCAATTCATGAAAATTCTTTAGTCTCACTTATTGGTCGAGATGATTTACAAATGGACGAAGTTAAAATTTGGAATCATATCATTGAATGGGGAATAGCTCAAAATCCTGGTCTACCATCCGACCCTGAAGATTGGTCTCTTGAAAATTCTCTGGTTTTAAAGACTACTCTTAAAAATTGCTTACCTCTTATCCGTTATTTTCAAATGTCTAATGAAGATATTATTAATAATGTACAACCATATCAACAAATTCTTGAAAGAAATCTTTGGAAAGATATAATGAAAAAATTTATGGCCTCAAATCAGCTGATATCTTCAAAAATTCTTCCACCTCGTATAGTTTTAACACAATCAATACCCACTAGAACTACTGAATCATTTTCAAAAATAATTAATGGTACACATGCGGCTGAAATTGCTTCATGAATTGATGAAAAAATTGTTCCTTATTCTGTAACGAATACTCCATATGAATTTAAATTACTTATTCGTGGAACAAGAGATGGTTTTACTCTTGATTCGTTTTGGAATTTATGTGATAAGAAAAAATATGTAGTTTTAGTTATGAAGGTCAAAGGAACTGATGAAATTCTTGGTGGATATAATCCTATTGGGTGGGATAAATCATTGAATGATTATAAGAATTGCAATAAGAGCTTCATTTTTTCATTGAAAAATGGTACTATTGAAAATTCTATTTTAAGTCGAGTAGAAGAACCAGAGATGGCAATTTGCAATATTCGTACCTGGAGTCCAGGTTTTGGTCGTGGTTGTGATCTCTACCTTTCAAAAAATCCCAATCAAAATAATGGCTGTTGGAACATTCAAAGATCTTATGAAAAGCGAATTAGAAATGCATTTACATATGATAAACGTGGAGAATCATATTTTTCAATTGAGGAATATTAAATATTTCAAATTAGTTAAAAATTCAAAAAGTTTTATGTTAATTAATTCACAAAGGAGTTAATTATTAACAAATATAGCCACTTTATATATTTCTAGGAAAGATCGATAGATTATTGTATATACTATGAAAAATTAATATCATCAAAAATTCGCTTCTCTGAAGGTCATTTGTAAATTACAATAATATTTATTATTGAATTTCATAATGACTTATAAAGCCCAAATTGGGGTGTCGCATACTAAATGATTTACTATCATAGTGCAGCACTATATGATTGGCCTACTAAGTAAGATTTTTAAAATTTTGTCGATCAATTTATTAAAAAATTTTATTATAGTAATTTTATAATAAAAACAAAGCATTTTTAAAATGTTATAACTCTTTTTCTAGTAAAGCAAATTCGATTCTATAACTTGCAAATGAAATATAAATGGCATAATTTTAAGCCTATGTTGAGACATTTTCTAATTTATTTGATTTATTTAACTAAAATTCTTAATTTATTAAATTTTAATAGTAAATCATCATTATTTTTGAGTTAAGCACATTTAACTTACATATTTATACTAAATATTGCAACATAGATTCAAAGCCACGCTATTTATACACTATTCACAATTTACAAAATTAAATTTGCTTTACTAGAGCGGGAGTTACAACATTTTAAATATGTGAACATGTACATGTATATAATTATCATGTGATCAAACTTGCGCATTGAGATATAGATATATATATAAATGTGCCAAGTCTTATTTAAAGTTAAAATACCTAGATTTTTAATATAATCACATTAATATTTATAAACTTGTATATAGAGAGTTTCAAAGTTAACAAATAAATAATGCGTTTTGAAAATAAAAATAAATTTTTTTAATAATATTTTTATTGTGTTAAATGAATAAGAATTGCAATTAATCATTAATTCTAAATCTATATATTGGGTTTTCAAATTTAACAAACAAGTGACACATTTCAAATATATATAAGTGAAATTTAATAGTTTTTATTATGTTGAATTATAAATCAGAAAAATAAAATAAATTTGAAATAAAAATTAAATACTCTTTTAGATTTATTTAAAATTTTTTATTGTAGATTTTTTCTATGAGCTAATTATGATTATATTTGAAAATAAATTAATATTTATTTAAGACATAAAATTTTGTATTCAATTTGGTTCAATTTTGTTAAAAATGACTCGCCTAACAAATAAAAAAAAACATTTACTAAAAGTTACTAAAGACTGTGAAGTTAAAAAGCAATGTTGTGATATCTATATTTACAAAATCATTAATTCTTTGGATAAAGAAGAATTAGTAAAAGTTCAAAACTATATTAATTCAATAAATCTCCCAAATATTAATATTTATGAAATTCTTAATCTCTTGGACCAAGATGAATTAATAAAAATAAAAATTATATTGATTTGATCAACTTCAAATAACAAAGTAATATTGAAAAAAAGCTTAATATATTAATTTATAAAGTAAAAAATTTACCAAATAAGCAAATTTTAAGAATTGAGCATTAATTAATACAATAACATATTCTAAAGGTAAAATTAAATGTGAAATATTGTTACTATACTTACAAGATAAAGTAAATAAATTAATAACTAGTAGTTTTTTTCATTTGTTCATGCTTTACAAAATAAAATAAAAAAGTTAAAAACTGAAAATACAAAGTTAACTAAATCATTAAGTGTATTGAATAGTGTACTTAGATTGTTCTATATAAAGATGATATAAGCAAAAAAAGTGAAACAGAAATATATATTTAAAATTTAGTCTGTTGCTTAAAAATCAAAAAAAATAACAAAAAGTTAATTTCAAATTGTAGTAAAAAGAATAATAAAGAAAAATAATTATATATACACAGCTAAATTTGTTAAACTTATTACAGATATAAGTAATATTGAGACTATTTTTCTTTTAGCAATAGCTAAATGCATTAAATCAATAATATCTTTTTTTACTGATGAAATGCCTGATTATTCACTTTTAACAAAAATTTTTTTATGGTAGAATAAAGAAGTTTCTAGGATATTACTTTATTAAAATTAACTAAAAGAGTTTTTTTTCTTTTTTTTTATATAGTATAATGGCTGATAAAAGTATTAGAAAAGGTAAAAAGGTGTTTTTAGATTGTTTTTTTTTTTTTTTTTAGAGTGAATATAAAAATTATCCAACTATTATTCATGCAAAAAATGGTTAATTTAGATAAATATTGCTATTATTATAGCCAAAGTTGTAAAAAAAAAATATATGAAAAAAACAATTTGAACTCAAGACAGTTAAATTTTGGCTCACAGGCCATACAGCATATATGTCAGGAAGTAAATCTGGTGCCATTGTTAAATTTAATTTGCAAACAAATGCATATTCATTTAGAATTTCATGTAGCCTACAAACACTGCAATTAGCTCTAATTGTATTTGAAAATACTACTTTTAGTAAGTTAAGCACTATGTCAAGACTATTATTGTGAAAGCACTCTATAATCTTCTTCAACTCATTTATTATCTATATGATAGTTATGATAAGAGCAATAAAGAATATCTAATAAATATAAAATCAGATACAATACAAAAATTATATTAGACACTTTTAAAATATACTTTACAAAAATACTAAAAATCTATCTCAAGTTGAAGGCAATACCAATTAATAACAGTAGGACAATATTTAGAAAATCTTAGTGCACATTATCTCTTAGGAACTTGGTTTACAAAACAGCTTGATCAATTCAAAAATATGCTCAAAGAATATGTTAAATAATGGAAAATCTTTGTTGAATAAATAACACAAATATTAATCTTTAAGTAAAATGTATAGTAAAGTTTAGAAATTTTTTTTATTTAAAAGCAACTCTTCCCACAGATCACTTTACCAAATTAGAAACAAGAAGAAAAAATATTCACACAACTTTTTCTCAAAAACTTACTAATTAATTTGATAACTGGCTTTTAAGTAAAGTTATTCAGCACCCCAAATACTACTTAAAGGAGGTACAAGTTTATCAAAAGACTACTCTCCAACAAATTATTAGCAATAAACTGCCAAAACAGCAAAAAAGCAGTTTTTTAGCACTTCTGCAAAAGTGGCCCTAAAGACCTCCAATTTCTAAATAAACCAAATAAAGCTACTGATAGTATATTTAAAAAAAATAGTAAGAAACAACTAGCTTCACATCTTGCCAAACCCCCAGACCTTGTTAAATACATGGCTTTCGAGAGCTCTTCCTACATCTTTAATTATTTTCTCGACTCACAAAACTTGTGCAAC